AATAGGCCAACCAATTTTTTCTCAGATATAAAGTTGAAATTGGTTGAGAATACCTTTTCTATCAAACCAGAAGTGCCCACAGAATTTCAATTAAAGGTGATGGAAATTTAAGATTCCTTTATTTACAAAAGTATTGAGAAAGCAGCCTGAAATACTTTATAGGGAACTCCATGAGATCACTAAAAAAAGAGCATAGCATAATGAAAAAGATGTCAAACTTGACAAAAACAAAATTTTATCATCTAAATTATTATGTTATTATGAAGAGGAAAGACCAAAGTTTTTTTTTTTAATTATTTTTAAAAATTTTTTCCTTCTTTTTAGAACATTCTAAATTTTGATAAAAAAAAAAAAAAAAAACTTGTTTCTCTTTGTATAACCGGAAATATTAAAATAACGTATAATTTTTAGCACGTTTTTTTGTATGACACACATTAATTTAGAAAATCTTGCAAAAATAAAAATAATTGTTGGATGTTAATGAATCTTTCAGAAACTATTCTCACAGATGATCGAAATTATGTTTTTGGGGTTTTTTTTGGGTTTTTTTTTTTTTTTTATTAAAGTCATGGCAGAAATATTTTTTTTTATATATTTATTACCCACCCCATAACTAATTTCATGAAAACTCTAGAAATTCGATTGAATACAGTTTAGTGATTACAATAGTTAAAAGCACAAGGCTTTGAGGAATGAAAATCATGTTTTTTTTGTTTTTTTTACATTGTACAATACGTGAAAAATCAGCTCTGAATTGTAACATACAAAACTCAATAAAACAAAGATATTATTTAATTTCAAATGCTTTTATTTGTTTTTAGTTGTTTTTATGAATATGGACAATATTTTCTGAAAGCAAAAAATTTTTTCGATGAAAAATGAATTTTTAAATACAATTATTTATTTCTTTAATTATAATAGATTTTTACATTTAAGTTGTTGAAATATTATAAAATTAGTTAAAAAGCCGCATACACTTTCGTAAATGTCCTTATGAGATAGATCTTTTTTTACCACATTGTAAATTGTATTGTTTTGACTAATCAGAAGACCCACAGTAATTAAGAAATATAATTTTGTGTTTATAATCGGGCTGTAATTATAAAGTACGGAAGACCAACCAGAATACAATTAAGTTATGTTATTTGAGTTAAGCATTGTTCTCCGCTGTGAAGGCCATTACTTTTGCAAAACACGTGTGGAGAAGTTAATTTGCTTTTTCAATTTCAACTGAGAAGGGTACCTACAAGTAACAGTATCATCTTATGAAATTTATATGATCTTATTTTTATATTAATCTCAGTTATGACATTTTTCCATAAATGAAATATCAAAATTAATAATAAAATGAATGGAAATACAAATAACACAGTAAAATGTAATAAATGTACATAAAATTATAGTATTTTATGTACACTTCTGATAAAATTTCATAAGAAAGGTACCTATAAATTAATTAGATACCTTTCTTATGAAATTTAATCTCACTCTTAATAGTTTTATTTTAATTTCTTTATAATATATTTTCCATAAAGCATCGTAAACGTAAAGTAGAAAGCTAAGTACATAAAAAAAAAAAAAATTAGACCGCTGAAAGTTTTCCTTAAAAATAACAAGGTAAATAATCTGTTCACTTAAATCTAAATAATTTCACTTTTCTCCTATAGTAGAACAAATTATCCTCACATAATCCACCAATATGTCATCCAACACCCGTCAAGTGACCTGCTTTGTTTTATTTTCAAACTACATCTTTTCAGCACAGAATCTAAGTTAAGCTTGGTTCAAAATATTTTAAATAAATAAACATTATAATTCCTGATTTTCTTTAAATAAGTTTTGAAAAAATGATAATTGATTTTTAAAAGAATTTCAAACCGAGATTTTCATATTTTTATAAAATGGAAAAAAATATAGTTGCCATGATTGATTATCTGTCAATTTTGCTGACTAAAAAAAAAAAAAAAGATTTTTAACAAAAATTTTGGACATGCTAGGAACAATTAAAAAATGTAAAAAAAATACCGCAAAAAACTTTGATCTTTCCTCTTAATAATAACATGAATATTTAGATGATAAAATTTTGTTTTCATCAAGTTTGGCGTTTTTTTCATCATGCTATGCTCTTTTTTAGCAATCTCATGGAGGTACCTACTTTACAGAAGGCTTGATATGAAGAAATATCAAACTTGTGATGAAAATATTCACTATTTTTTTTAAACATCCACTTATGTGAAACAGACATTCTGTCATGAACATAAATAAGAGCATGCAATGTCCTTTTACTGATGGTCATTCAGAAGATATTTTGAAAATATATTCTACAAATATGTCTGTGGAATATGATGAACTTGTTGCTGAGAAGATATGTTACATTTCTCATTAAAAATCAAAGGCAACCTAAATTCTTTCATGTGGTCATTTAATACCATTACTAAAAAGAAGATGAAACTTAGCACTGAATATTTTTTTTAAGAAGCAACCATGTATCTTTATAGTTAGCTTTGTAAAAAAACAAAAATCATACAAAATCTCTGGGTACTAACACTAATGTAACTTCTTGGGGGTGGGGTAACTATTGTCAAAAGTAAAAGTTATACACCATTTAAAAAAAAAAAGAAAAAAAGAGTGACCCCTCCTTATGTTGCTTGTAGGGATTTAAAAACATGGGCACTCAATGTAATAAGGAGTAATGGTTCAGTATGTGTCAACTATTTTTTTTTATAATTTTTTTTTTTCAGAAAAAAATGTCAACATTTGATTTTTTAATACCATTCCTGATACTGCTTTAGCTCTGGTCCCTGATTATGTGCGTGTGTGTGTGTATTTTATATTCTAACATAACATTTATTATTTTAATATGTGTTGGAATTCTACACTATGAAAAAATAAATAAATAAAAAAGTTAAAATTAGCAATGATTTTAATGCCCAGGTGATCTGGTGACAAGTCATGATGTTGCTAAACAAATCTATTTGATAATGTGATCTAAAATATATTACAGTGCTGGATCATGTGACCTGTAAAAATTTGTTTTAACAATGTTGAATTATTATAAACCTTGTAAAAATAGGTTTGTATTTTTGTAACAATAATGTTCACCATGTACAAGGCCCAAGAGCAACTCGAGAGTAAGAGGTAAGGTGCACAGTTTATGAGGATATAAAGAGAAGATAACTGTTAACCCTAAAGTTGAAGAGTTAAGATTGTAGACATTGAGAAGTCAGTTCCACAAAGTAGCAATCTGTGGGAAGAAGCTGTTAGTGGAACTTATCTCATCAATGGAACATGAAGGGAATTGAGAGTGGTCCACTACAGAGGGAGTCATAGTTGTACAGGTTAGAACTGATAAAATTAAGGAATGTAGTTTATCTGTACAGTTTCCACAGAAATAGTGATATATTGCAACATTTTATGTGGAAAATGAGTTGTAGGGTTGAAAATAATTTATCACTTACAAGGCTGCATAGATGCTTTTGAGACTGGAAAGTGACAACCGAGGAGCTCCTGCCTATATATGATAGTAGTATTCCATTTTCAGCTTAATCCGACTATTGCAAGAGGAATCAGATAATTACTAGGGTTTCTAGTATGTATGAGTTCCACTTGAACTTAAGTCTCAATAGGCACTCAAGGCATAGAACCTCCCTGAGAGAGCACCCATTCATTGAGATAGAAAAAAAAAAAAAAAAAATAAATAAAATTCAGGGTCCAATCAGTGATGATGGAATGTCACTAGTTTGGTTTTCAAGGCACTGAATGTAACTAGCTAGTTCTTTACCTACATTGAGCTTTTAGAGCTAGGTTAGAAGAGAGATCAACTGCCAAGTTCTGGTCATCTAGAATTTGAGGTGAACCTATATACCATTGTATCATCACATAGAAGTTCATGAAAGACCAGTATAGACTTACACAGCTCATTAATCTAAAATAGAAAGAGTTGGAGTGAGATGTGAGCTTTAAGGGACATCTGTTGATGATCACTTGGGCCTCGGCAGGCTAGCCATTAACTACCTTCAGGGACCTACCCATTAAGACTTGACAATTGATAAAACTCTTACGGATTCCGTAGCTGGAGAGCTTGTACAGCATTGTTCTATGCTACACCTTATCTAAAGCCTTTGAAATATTCAATGTGATTGTCTTTGAGATGTATTTATTGTCTAGGGCTTCACAGATTCTATTAGTAATGACTGTTAGGATATCAGCAATGGACTGAGCTGATTAAACTGTAATGCTTGTCATTCAAGAGGTTGTTCCTATCGAGATGATCAACAACCTTCAAAATTTTATTAATGACACTAAGGATGCTGATGGGTCAATATTGAAACAGGGATGGGTGAACACTCATTTAGTGAATTGTGAAGGATTTCTCCTTCAAGAAGCAGTTAAATAGTTTTGCAGGGATAACTCAGGGTTAATATTCTTAAAGACAACCACTGTGACTTTATCTTGACTGGCAGCCTTCTTAGAGTCAAAATTGAGACTTCTGAAGCTGTAATAAAAATATTACCAAGTTCATGCTCTGTTGAGAAGATGAATGTTGGAATATCTAAAAAAAAATATATTCAGAAGCCAAACCTAAGGAAGTGTGCAGCAAAGTATCAGAAATTAAATCTAAGCTTTTCTCATCAAAATGCTTACTGAAAATAATGCACATCTTTTTGTTTTTTTTATTAAGATATACCTTCTTTTGAATGCATTAGTGCATTTATGCCATTTTCCACCCACTCAGTAATTTACTAATAAATCTTTACTTGTGACCATGACTAATTTTTTGTGTTTTTTTTGTTTTATTTAGTAATTTATAAAATTTACTTTTTTTTGTAATATTTAATATGTAAACTAATCTATTCAAATGTAAACCAAGCATGTTGCTGGTAATATTTTTATGAAAAAGAATGTATAAAAGTATCTCAGTATAAAGGTTTGTGGGTATGGTTACAGAATTATCCCAGGATCCATATGCATATGTTAATAAAATATGTAAATATACTTACGTTTACAAGTATATTTTCCTTCTTTTTTACCCTGTTTACCTTTTGCCTTGAGACAGTTATCACAATAAAACCTGAATAAAAAAATGGGTATATAAAATAAAGACAATTTAATAAAATAATTTATTAATTAAAAATTATAAAAATGAAATATTTAGATAAATAAATAAAAAATCTTATAAAATATTAATTTTAATAAGAGGTTTAAAAATATATAAATAGAAAAACCAGTCTCATGACAACTTTTCAAAATTTGCTTGCTACTTATAACTAATAAAATAAGTCATATTACATTGGCTATCTGTACTTGATTGAGAGGATAGGAATTCACATAATCTGTCTTAAAAGTTTCTTCATATATAATTTTAATGCAGCAATGTTAATCTACACTCAATGCAGTAATGTTAAACTTGTGCAGATTTTATAATAATGATTTTGTACACAATATTTGGACAAAAATTTACATCAGGTATGTGAAGAGAGATTAAGAAAATAGCCAATATCATTCAAATTGCAAATTCAGCAAATTAAATCATACATACCCATTAGGCCAGAGTGGTTCAAAATATAAAGCACAGATTTGATGTAGCTTTCGTCCACATTCTAAACACTCAACAAACCTATCAAAATTTTTAAAGAAAGAAAAATGTTAAAAATATGTATTACTCATAAATGCTATAAAAATAATGATGCTTACAGATAATTATAATAATAATAATACTATTCATGTTTATGTGCAGATTGAATTTGCAACCATTTTAATCAACAACTATAGCTTCCTCTTTGCAAAGTAGAAACCAGATTTTGGTATAAAAGTTAAAAACGTTTTCTAAATAAAAATAAAAAAACTATAATAAAACTTACGGTTCCAAATCCAACTGATCATTTTTCAGTTTGGAAAACGCTTCCTTTTGTATCCGCCTTAAAAGAGAAAAATCCAATATGATAATCTCAAAAAGTAAATTATAAAATAAAAGTTACAAAGAAGAGTGTTTATTCCAGGATATCAATGGCCACTTATTGAAAGATTAAACAAGCAGTCTTTATAATCTAGAAAATAAAAAATACCAAACAAAAACTTAATAGTCCTCTGTCAATTGAAAGGTGGTAAAATTTATTTATAATGCCTTAAATCCTGTATTATATCCTTATTGCTTTTTAATTTGCACTGCAAAGAGGTTAAAAATAGCCTTAGAATTTCAATTTACCATTAATCTTTTCATCTCCTGAATAAATCATTAATATACTTCTAAAGGGAAAAAATATGAAAACATGGTAATACTTTTCCTAAAGATTTTAAAAGTATTGTTACTACTTGTAGATTCACCAGAAAGTGTAGTTACAATAAATGAAAATTCTTGTTTGTTTCTTGATGTCACAAAATTTTCCAAGACAACCAGTTTCCTTTGTGAATCCTGGGAAAGAAGCTGATACACATGGCTAATTAACAAGTGTTTAATATTTCTGGATAGCAATACAACATTTAAGTGTTGGAAGGGAAGAAAAAAAAAAAAAAAAAAAAAAAAAAAAAAAAAAAAAAAAAAAAAAAAAAAAAAAAAAAAACTGATGTAACATTCTTACAAAATTATATTGGCAAAAAGAAAAAAAAAATCAAGCCTGCAAATAATCCTTTTGTCTCACACTTATCAAGAGAAATGGTGTTTAAAATTTGATATCTCAAAATATATAAATAGACTGTATAAGATGCTGTACAAATATATTCCTGGTCCAAAGACAGTATTTGAATTTACATTTATAACAGCTTTTGTGTAATAAAACATTTTCATTTTATAGCATTTTGACACATATATAATTTTTTATAAGTGTAAAAAAGCATCACCAAAACTTTCAAAGGCAAGGTTTTCCAGAATAAGATGACATCATTTTATATACTGTAATACCAATAATTACACTATTACAATTGCTGACAGTATTTCTGTTGGCAATATTATTGAGATATCACAACTAAACATCTTGAGATTTTGGCAGCTCATCATGTCCATGCAGAGAATGCACACAAAAAGATAAGTTAATGTTTTATTCCCAAATAAAATTTATCATTAAGAGAAACATTCTGTCAAACCTATTTCAGTATGATTTTTATTTGCATTGGACATCATGGCTAGACATTACAAAATAAATTTTATCAGGACAGGTTTTAATCACATCAGATTTGATTATAAGAGAGAAAAGTGAGAAAGAATTGGAGAGAGAGAAAGAGAGGAGGGGAACCTATCAACAAACAGAGAACTGAAATTGATCAGTACAAAAGGAATTTTTCACCTGAAGTTAACATTAAACATATGAATATCATGGCAATATGATAGCATATTTAGTAATACAAAAACAAAAATTTTAAGACTAAAAACATTGACTTCTGGAATCAACACAAAAACTAAAAATTTATAAAACTTCCCCACAAACTTATTAATTCCAAAGAATACTTATGTATCTTATATTGGATACAAGGACAAAGCAAAAGAGATTTTTCTTAAAGTAGAAAAACATTGTTAATATTAAAATAACTTGAGGCAATTTTTTTTTAGAGCTGTGAAACTTGTCAATGTTTAAGCATCGAATTAAATAATGTAGTCAGGAAATTTTTAATGGAAAAAAAGAAAAGAAAAAAGTTGCCATACAGAAAGCAGATTTATTGACAGGAGGGAATGGAGACAGGGAAATTATTGTTAGTAAAACATTAGGTTCATAGGTACAGAGGATAGGTAAATAGAAAAGGTGAGATAGAAGAAAAATAGGTGGGTAAACAACAAAACAACTGACAATTACAGCATTTGCTTATTTAATTACAATATCAAACAAGTAATGTACAGACTTTTTGAAGTTTTAGCTCCAGTAAAAACTATCATTAGGAGTTAAAGAATAGACATTTTTTTATTACTAATTTATAATGCAAGGTGGCATTTTATCAAATAAATAGGTATGTTAACTGATGTAAGCACATTTATGAGGTCAATTTTTAGTTCAAATATAATACCAAATATATATAAGGAAGAAATTTAATAGAATCAATCTATTTTCTTTTAGCTAAGGACTTATATATATATATATATATATTAGTGTGTGTGTGAACATAATTAAGATGTACTATTTTTCTTTTTTTTTAAATGAATACGGCCAGATTAAAATTTAGTGCAGGCAAAGGATAAAATTTTTGACTGTTGATAAACTTGAAAATTTAGACCTTATAAATTTTGAGTAAATTAGATTGCAAAAATAAGAGAAAAAATTAATGTTAACCTATAAACTAGTTAACCTTTTCTAACTATCAGTAATTCAACTGCATTGACTACTATAAGATTAAATTGATATAATTATGAATCACCTTGGATTGACTGTCCGTGACTCGTATGATGTGAAATTAGATGATCCTAAGAGCGCTGTGAGATTCCTAAAAATTGAAAAATAAAAGATAGAAACTGCTGTAATTCATTCAGAAAAAAAAAATCCCATGAAACAATGACAAAAAGAAAAGAAAAATAAGGAACAGAAAAACTAATCAAAATTATGGAAAAAAAAAAAAAAAAAAAAAAGGTTAAAAGAAAAAAAAAAAAAGTTAAAAAAGAAAAAAAAAAAAAAGAAAAAAAAAGAAACATCACTAGGATATATCACACATGTTGAGGAGTTCCAGCAGGCAAAACAAAAGTTTAGTATACCCACTTTTTCATGTGTCAAACATTGTTTGTGCTCAACTGTGATTATGTGTGCTAATAAATAAATAAATAAATAAATAAATAAAACAAAAAATTGATGAGACTGAAGAAATGCCAATTCAAGTTTTTCATCCTTTAACTGGTCTTCAATTGAAAAGATCCAGGTAATCAGCACACTAACAGGTGATATAGTTTAAAAATCAAGAAAATAAGCACATACAGTTTCTAAGCAGGTGAGACAAAACATATACTCAATGAATTGACTATTACAGATACAATCATATCCACTTAGTCAAATCATGATTTACCATTAAAAGTAATAATGGAAACATTAGTCTACTAACAGCAATTTTAATTTTTAAAGACTAGGAAACTCACAGCACACTTTTTTAAAGTAATGAGACAATTTAAAGGTTTCATTTCTTACTGTATAAACATAGTGTAGAATATTTTGAAGAGTGTGGTGAGAAGTGACAACTCATTTCCTGTAAATATCTAAAGAAAAATTTATATAAGCAATTAAAATATCTGGTATCTGGAAAATACAGATACAAATTATCTAACATTACCATGATGTTAGAATTCATATTAAAATAGATTTTTAAATTTCTGGGCTAAAACTCCAATGTCTGCTAAATAAAAGAATCCCTAGGATATCAGTTGAAAGAAAAATTGAATTAAAATAAAAATTGTAAAAATGTAAGAATAATATATTCTAGCCAGATGTTTCTGAACAAAATCAAAGATTCTAAAATATCTCTATGTTTCAGGAATAATTAGGCATTATCATTGTTGGAAAAAGTTTTGAAGGGCTTGTAATAAGTAGTTCCTTTTTTTTCTTCTTTTTGTCATACCAACCCAAAAAAATTTAACTAGATTACAAGTTTTCAGTTATTTTGCTTTTGCTAATTACCACCAAAGTTTATTATTAGAGGCTTAGAAGATGATAAAAAGGACCACCTTGTAGTCAATGTTAATTTTTGCTTATAGAAAAAAAAGTTAGTTATGCAAATTTGAAGGTGAATACTAAAGGAAAAAACTGAATTTTTAAAATTGACATTAAAATAGAAAAAAAAAAAAGAAAAAAAAAGAAAAGAGACAGCTTATTAAGAGATGCATGTTAAAAAAAAAAGTCAATACCAAATGTTCTTATAGAATAAACACCTGCTTAAAAAAATTCATGCTAACCTTTATTACATATATTTTATCAAATAAGTATTAAGTTTATATATTTATAATTATAAAAACAGCAATCAGTAAGGCAAGTTTATTCATAAAGTTGAAAATACAGCGAATGGACATTTTTTACATTAATACATTTTTAACAAATAATTTGATAATTGAAAGTTTACTTCTTAAAAAAGAAAATTAGCTCTTTTCAGGAATGAAAAAGCTGTATTTATTCTATTTGTATCTTTATCCAAACAAATATAAAATATTTTGCTATTTTCGTTATATACTTTGTCAAAATCAAAAATTATTTTAATAACATAATGAAATGAGTTAAAAAGAATCACTATATAGTTTTGAAATCAATGTTAGGCAAAGATTAAAAATAATGTCCACTTTCAATCTTAACTGAAGATAGGATTATTGTTAAAAAGTTATGAGTTATGTCAACTTGAAAACTCATTATATTAGTATTTTTCAGTCCCACATAAGTTTTAAAAAGATTGTTGTATCTTAATACAGTAAAAAAATGAAATATTGAAATTGAGATTTAACATAGCAACAGAATGAAAAAAAGGAAAAATTTATTTTAAGTACAAGTTTTCTAACATTAGCATTTCAATACAATATTTTCAAAAGAACTTAACCAGATCAAATATATTCTTCTTACAAACAAAATTGAAATACTTTTCATGCTTCTTTTACAGCAATTTATTTATATCAAAATGGAAGTTTTCAACATAAAATTGAAATGCAACAAAATCAAAATTAAAAGATAAGAATATAATGCAATTATAACAAAAGTGGAGTTGAAGTTTCAAACCAGAACCTATAAATGAAGATGATATATAAATATATAGAAATAGGTTAAAAATTAAGAGACAAAACTTGAGAATTGCAAGTGTTTACAAACAGCCCCTGTAAAAAAAAAAAAAAAAAAAAAAAAAAAAAAAAAAAAAATTCAATAATTTAGCCATGTGTCTCAGATTAAAAGGTTTGTTAGGTTAAACCAAAAACAGCTCACAAGAAGGAATATATATATATATATATATATATATATATATATATATATATATATATACATACACACACACATACATACACACACACACACACACACTTACGTTACAGGTTGAGACGGGTCTTCTGCTAATTCAACCTCTTCTCCTTGGATTTCCTGGAAACACTTCTCACAATAAACATATCTGGGAAAAAAAAAATAAAATAATTATACAAATTCAAATTTTACATCATTTTACCATGTAAATAAAAGTATGTTTGTTCAAGAAGAAAGAAATTAAAATTTAAGTTCATATTAAATTTTATTATTAATAAAAAGTAAATTAATAAAGGAAAAAAAGTACTCGGTAAATACTGGCTATGCTAAAAGTAATTTTTAAAGAGTAATGATTTGTTTTAAAAGGTCCTATATAATTTTTAAGAGATGTTTTGAAAAGTTCAAGAAATTAAAGAAATGAAGGCTTCATCCTACCTGTTTTGATAGCTATAATATACAGCATCCCGTGGTATTGTACACAATTGTTTTCCATAACAACAAAGCACTTGTGGACTGAAAACAAACTTGCGGCCACAACAATAGCCAAGGGACTGCATAACTTGATCAATTTCACCTTCAAAGACCTCAGCCAACTGAGAAAAAAAAAAAAAGCAACAAAATAAGGGAAATAAAGAAATAATATCAAAGTATTAATACTCTCTTAATTGTTGGGTTTAAAACTGAATTGTATGAAAATGTTTTATAAACAATTGCTAATATTTCTTATAGATTTAGATCTTTAAAAGCTTCAAGAGATCAAATTTAAGTTAAAATATCAAATTGAATAAAGTAAAAGTAATGTGTCCTATTTAAAGCATATTAAAAAACATTCATCTCACCTTTGAACAGTATTTATAGACTCTGGAAGTTTTCCTATTGTATAGCCATGCATTATCAAACATAAGCCACACATCATCAACATACTGCCATGGGTCTTGATACTGTCCAGTGTCTAATTTTCTTTTAATAGTGGAGAGATCCATGGGCTTTTTGATTATCATAAAATAATCCTGAAATAGAAAAAGAACTAATAATTCATTTTTGAATGTGTTTTCTATATTAATAAACAGAACTAGTTTATTAGCATTTCTACAAAAAATAAAATAAATAAAGATGAAAATTTAAAGAAAAATAGAAACCAATTGGGTGACAAAAATATTTTTGTAATATTCAACTTTTTTTTTTAAAGACTTATCTAAATTAGGACAAGATGTCTGCTAAAGTTAACAAATGATAAAGTTCGTTTACATGAAAATATAAGAACCATTTTGGTAAGTAAACTTGATAATGCAGATAAACATAATTATGCATTTAAATTTCATTTAACAACTTAAAATTCCCTATATATATATATATATATATATATATATATATATATATATATATATATATAAATAAAGAATTAAATCTAACTTATTTAAGCAGAATATTAAAAGTGCAAGAGAGTTGCTTATATTTTGTTTGTCATCACATTATTGCCATCAGTTTGTATTTTTTATATCCAACTTTATCTGGATTCAAACTTCATTTAATGCCACAACAATAAGATGTTTTGCTTCTTCCCTATAGTCATCAGTACAAAATGGTGAAAATATAAAAGTTAAGCAAGATGAAGTCATATCAATAGCAGATCTGCAAATGCCAATTATTTACATTGTAACAACTGAACTTAAAAAAATAAAGCAAATGGCATAATAAATCTAATATCATTTTACAATGCAAATAAAGTTATTCCAAAACTGATTCAGCATTTATTATAAGTATACAGATGACTTTCAGGAGTTTGAAAAAATTTCCTAAAATAAACCTGTGCAAACAAAGCACCTGATATTTAAATGTATATACTGAACAAAATAAATATCTTCAATTAGATGATTTTTTAAAAAAGTTACTTAAACAAAATAAGGCCTAAATTCATTAAAAATTAAACTTCATAGTTCAATATAAACAGAAAAATTAATGTAACATATAATGTATATAGAAAGACTGGTTTGATTTTGTTATTTGAAAAATATTTAACTTCATAATTCAATACAGAAAAGTAAAATACAGAGATACAGTAAAAATTGCAACAATGAAGTCAAATTTATTTCCTAAATTTATTGAAGGAGAGGAAAAACATAATGGAAAAAAAGAGCATGGTAGGAGCCACCAAAATCAATATAAATTTCCTTCTTAAAAGCATGAAAGTGCAAAGCAAATTCCATGGTAATTTATTTTAGAGTTGTTCACAAACAAAGCAAAAAAAAAAAAAAAATCTCCTAGGCCAGAGAAACAATACCCAGCATAATTAGTATTAACTTTTGCCATTCAGAAGAAAGGGAAAGAGAGAACAGAAAGGGAGAGAGAAAGTGAGAGATAGAGATGAGAGATAAGGGAAAAAAAGCCTTGATCTTCTTCCATAACATATCTATATCCTAATAAAATTGCCTCTACTTATATATTCCTATGCAAACCTTACACATGTTTTTAGAATATATACACTTAAATTGAAATGCTCTTTTTGAGTTTACCAACTGACCTTAAAATGTTTCCATTTCTTGTCCTGTGTCTGTGTTAGATGGGGAAGCTGTTTCAGAAGAAATAGTGCAAACATTCTAAGGTTAGTCAGTAAAATCAAAAGAGCATTTTAATTTATCTCTATCAATTCTAACTACATCTCTGTGTAGCAGAACAGAGGAAAAGGATGTTGTCACTCATAACAAGACAAAAAATATAATCATACTAAAACAAGATTTGAAAAATGCTATGAGCACTAAAGAAAAAAATTCATTTTGACTAAAGAGAAACCTACAGGTATTTGAATACTACTTTTAACAGATTACTTCAAAAAGAGCTAACATGTTCTTTTCAATAACTTAAAACACACATCTTCCATGTTATTTTTTTCATTAGAATTCTATTTAAAACCAAAGTTGATATTACTTCACCAGCATGCTATTAACTATCAGAATATAAGAGGACGTACATTTAGCCATAAAATTAATATAAAAGTTATTGCATTATGTAGCTTGTGAGAACTTTGAATTTTAAGTCAGATTTTATCAATAATACTCAAAGTAGTTTAAGTTTCTTGACAAAACTAAGAAGCTTTAAAGTTGCTTTCATTTTTTTTTACCTTATTTTCACACTAGCTTTTCTCAGAATTGTCTTTTGCAAAAAAGAAAAAAATAAATAAAAAGATTTAAAAAAGTAAACAGCAAAACATTCTTAGATTTTTATATCCAACCAATTAATATCTAAAAAAACACATGTGCCAATATGTATTTTCCATTGAGCTGTAGCACTGTATCATCATCTTCCACTTCTGAACTGGCAGGAACTTGGGTGGCAAAGCTTTCTTCAACAGAAGCTGTCGCAGATAGCAGAGCAACTGGAGAATACAAGCCAATAATGACATTTCAAAAGAGTCAAAAGGCCAGAATATATAATCCGATACCAGTGAAGGGAACAGGGTGGGTTTCTCCATATTGACAACAAAATTAAGATTTACAGAAGGAAGAGGGAACATATGGGAACAATGTTAAGCAGCAGGTCTTTACAAGTAGATATTCTTAGCACACATTCTAAGATCAAACTACTAAATATCAGACCAAACTACTAAATATCCCAAATGCAAGAACTTTTTTATAAATAGGATACATTGTTTGATTGCTTATTACTATGTAAGTATAGTTATCATTACATTAATAGAAAGACTTTAGTTCACAATTTCAATAACATGTAGAGGCAGCATATCAGCTACTATAAATTATGTGAACTGAATGTACATTTGGATATCACAAAGATACTTAGTGGCTTTATAAAAAGTTATTTCTAAACTAAATTTTTTTTAAATCAAGATATTTTAATGTTACTGAAGCTACATCAGCATTAAAGCATAATTTCATGTTATGGTAAAATTAAAAGGTTCCATATTTTAATTAAAAAAATCAGAAGCTAATAGAAGAAAAAAAAACAATGAGGGTATAAAGAAAAAGAAAAATTACAGAAAAAAATTAATGTAGTTTTAGTACATAATCACTGATTAAAAACATCTAAATCACTGAGTAAAAGCATTTAAATAGCATATTTTATCTTTCAATGCAAATTAAATATACATTAACTGACTATTAATTTAATTATTTTACAGTAGTAGAACTGAAAACCTTTTAATGAACATTTGATTTGGTTATGTAACCATAGTTTAGTGAAATTTCTTATCCTAGCTCACAAGCATTTAATTTCATAAATACAAATATAAGCTACACATTTTAAACATCTATTCTTAAAAAATAACTAACAAAAAGGGTTAATTTAAAAGTCAATTCAATTGTTAAAAATAACCAACAGAAAAATAAGATGACCAAATTATTCTCCCATTCATTCTGATTAAAATAAATGTCACAAATTGAATATAGAATGTATTAAATACAAAGATTCTATATAAATTTTAATGAGTAATAAATCTATAAAGAAAATTTTACAAAAGTATATAAATTTAGTTTTAAAAACTAAAATAGGAATTGTGTGTGTGTGTGTGTGTGTGGCATAAGTTAGTGAAAACATTTTCCCCAAGATTCAAAATCAGATATATCAGTAACATCTAGTAGAGGACTACATTAAGTCAACTTGTAAACCCTAGAAAAACAAATTAATAATTTACAAATCAATTGTTTAAATCAAATTTCTCATTTGAATTGTTATTAAATGTTAAGATTACATTTTAGAATAAAAACAGTGTTTACAATTAAGAAGGGTTTAGAAGCAATACAAAATCCAAGTGAAATTTGGATATTAAAAAATAATTAAAATAGTAGCAGTATGAATGGGAGATAAAAATACTTAAAATAGTAAATTGTCTTGGAATTTTTTTTTTCTTTTAAATATTTTTTAAAATTAAAGAAGCCTATTGAATTTTGGACTTACAGGAATCTGCAGAAGACTAGGATCAACCGGCTGTCTGAAAGGTAAAGACTCTGGGTCCTGCCTGTAAAGCTTTTCCAAAGTTGGCATCAGTGCTTGGCGCAGTTCATCTGGCTTAAAAACTATAACCAAAACAAGGTTTTTGAGTTTAAAAACAAAAATATCAGAATAAGCTTAATAAAAATTAGTAAATGACTAATTAAATTAAAATCATAAAAATTTAAATCATTTATACAAGTTTGAAACTTTAAAGACACTATTCTAAATGTAAAAACAAAGATACTTTCAGAAAATTACTTTTAAAACATACAAAAAAAAAAAAAAAAAAAAAAAAATTGCTCCACTTTCTTTTTATACATAAGTTTCTTAAAAACATTGAAACCTATAGAAAGGAAATAAGTATTTCATGATCAACCAATGAATTTAAAAACCTAAATACTGTACATAACTATGTCAAACACTAATACAAAGCTATTCAGAAATAATAAAGCTAATGAAAGATTTAATAAATTTGTATAAAGAAATAAGTACATGCAGAATAATTATTTTGCAGCGGATCTGGGGAAACAATTATTTTTAAAAGTCTTATTTTCAAAAACCATAATTTTTTCAAGTTTATCAAACATTTTTATATTGATGATAAAAAACTGAAAAACTCATTAAACTAAGAGAAAAATATATTTACTAATATAAAAAGTGCATTACACATAGAAAAAATAATGAAGCTATTCTGTGGAAAAATATACTTTATTAGAATAACAATAAAGTGATCTTTTTTAATGATTTCTTTGATCATATTCCATATTATTGAAAATTAGTGACATATGACATGAAATTTTAATATTCGAAAGAAACTCTTTGAGCAAGAATGAAAATAACAGAAGTCAAATCACTGATGTTACCTTTCTTAGATTTTGGTGGTGTGCCTGACCCTGAGGTAGTTTGTGCTAATGGCCCCAGAGGGCTAGCTTTTGATTCACCACCATTTATATTTTCTGTATTTCCACATGCGGTAGATTCAGGACTAGTTGTTTCAGCAACAGGCTCTTCTTTCACCTGTGATAATGTCAATGGTTCATCTTTAACATCAGGTTTAAGAGTCGAAGATTTAATGTCTGATAAATTTAGCTTGTTATCGGATTCCATTTCTTGTTTTATGAATTCTTGTTTTATGAATTCTTGTTTTATCATCTCATCCTGCTTTAGAAATTCTGGCTTTATTATTTCTGGCTTAATTTCCGTTTTAATCTCTGTAGGGGTAACAGTAGTGGTAGTTGCTGTTGTGGTAGCAGTGACTACAGAAGACACACTAGTGGTTGTAATAGTAGTAGTAGTTACAGTAGAAAGTGCTTCTGATAAACATAATCCAGGCTCCTGCTTTACTTTCAATTCAGGCAATAGCTCAACAGATTCCTGAAAAGACACATTTTACAGTTCCTTTAGTAATTTTTCATAAACAATTAACATAATTCCTTATAATAAAAGGAATGGATAAAATAAACTTAATATTTTACAGATTTTAGAGAGTAATTGATGCAAACAAGCAAAATAAATTGTGCATAGGAAGATTTTCCTAGATTATTTTGTAGTTATCTACATTATAATTTTTAATTTAAATATAAGTAGAAAAACATTATCTTCAACTTATCTAAAAAGAACATTCAACTATAGCATAAATTTAGAATTGACAATTTATATCAACTTTATGCTAAACCAAATATTTAAAAGAATGTATTAGAGAACCATGTAATGAAAATAACTAAACTGAAAATTTAATGAACTTTAACCAAATTTTTGTAGCTTATTCTTTGCCATATGTTTACTGAAATATTAGTACATATACTTTAAGCAATTATTAACAATTTGATGATAAAGCAAACTTATAAGAATCATACATCAGACTTGAGAGCAATTAGACAGAATCTTATAAGTGAATAATACATACTGGCAATGGTAACTGCTTTCCTTTGGACATCATCTCTGTTTGATTTGGCTGTGTTATTTGTTTTGGTGTCAATGGCTGAGGCTTTTGTGGTGTTAGTGCCTTTTGGCCAGTACCACCCTGTTGAGATTGTGGTAATACTTTCTGTGGGGTGTTGGACTGTGGAGTTGTAGGTTGAGAAGGGGGTTGCTGCTGTTTTGGTGTATGTTGCTGTTGTGGTGTAGGTGGCTTTTGTTGTTGGGTAGGTTGCTGGGGTTGCGATGTGGTTTGCTGTGACGGCTGAGATACTTGGGTTGGTTGTGGCTGAATGGTTGCTTGTTGTTGCTGTGGTGTTGGAGGTGGTTGCTGAGGCTGTTGCTGATGAGGCTGCATAGGCTGTGTTTGTGGTGGTATTTGTATAGACGGCTGCATGTGTGTCTGAGGAAGTGTTACTGGTTGCTGCTGAGTTGTTGAGGGAACGGTCGGAAGAGGCTGTGTCTGTGGCTGCTGAGGAATTGGCTGATGCGTCTGAGCAGGGGCAGGTGCTGTTGGTTGCTGCTGAGGAATCGGCAGTGGTTGAGATTCAGAAAGTAATCCACTCAGCTGTGAAGGAATTGGTTGGAGTGGCTGAAAGATAAAAATTGAGATTTATTCACAAAAACATAAAACAGTAGCAATATTTTAATGAAAAAAAAAAAAAAATACATATGGAAAACAAAATTTCAATACTGTGTATTATCCAACATTAAGTCTGGACAATTTACATGTATATATTTTACTATCATTTGAATACAACTAATTTCCAATTTGGTGTGGAGAAAAAAAAAACAAAAAAAAAAAAAAAAAAACAAACAAAAAAAACACACACACACATAGGGATAAAAAAATCCAAATGAACAAATGAGAAAGCAGAATATTTTTTTTTTAAAATTAACATGCAAGCCAGCCTTGATTTTTTTTTCCTGTACTTCCTAGTTAGTAAGTTTAAACATTCAATTTATAAAGATCAAAAGCATTATAAAATTAGAATTTGTATTTTAAATCAGATAGCATCAAACTATGGAACCAATTTCTAAAACTTTTAATACTTAATCTTTAGACAAAATGATAAATATTCATTACTCTGGAATATGTTTCTATAATTCTTTTTAAAACAACTCAAAAATAATTTCAAAAGCATGCTAAAGCTATGTAAATATTTACAAAGAGATTTTAAGAGAATAGTTTTGACTATTATAATCTAAAATTATTAAAACACTTTAAAATTTTCAATGATTTTTTTTTAAATGAAAGTGTAAAAGGGTAAACAAAACAAAAAAGCATAAAGAAATGCATTAAAAATAAATAAAATTAGAAAATAGATTGAGAACAAAAAAAAAAAAAAAAAAAAAAAAGAATTTGAAATATAATTAAAAATAGGTTAAAAAATAACATTCAACTAAACCAATTGATTAGAAAATAGTTTTATGAATTACAAGTAAATATAAAATAAATTTGCAAATGCCAAACTGAAAAGAAATAGACATTAAAAATATTATCTAATTATTTACTGCAATTTGTTTTGCATATCTTTCTTCAACTAATACTTAGTTGCAAGGTGCAGTTTCTGTCATTTCTCTTGTAATTTCCATTGTGTATATAACTACACTAATGGCCTAATTGTGATGCCTGACATTTTTATTAACAATATTATTAAATAATCTTGCCAAAAGTGTCAATATCTGAAAATTTCACCTAATGAAAATACATATGGTTTATTAAAGAATAAAAAAAAAAAGTTTTTTCTTTTTACTTTGTCCAGCTAATCCATATTTATCTTTTCAATATATTATTCTAACAAAATAAAAAATTCAATATGCATGAAATTCTCCACATTTATAACATTTTAAAAATATTTTGATTGGTACATTTTTATACAATAAATATTTTGATAATTATTCTTCAACCAACTCTTACAAACTTTTAAATTTTTCAATTATCCCCATGAGTTTTCATGAACATGTCTACTCCTGCACATTGAATAATTATATATGTATATAAAAAGCAAAATTTATCAGGAAATGGAATACATAATTAGAAAAGTTATCACTTATTTTTATTCATATATAGCCAAACTAAATATAGATATTTACTAAGTTTAGTAGTCAAGTACAAGATCAAATAAGAAGAAAGGAAATATACAAAGATTGCGATGCATGAATCTTTCAAATAAGGAAGGCCTGCCTGCTTTGAAAATTTGCATTCAGTATCTTTTTACCTAAATATTGATCATTGGTAGCAGAGTGGAGAATATACAACTACTTCAGTAGGTCAAGTAAAATTGAATGTAGCTATTTAAAAATAAGACAATCTTCAAATATAGCAAATGAATAATTTATGGTAGCTTTTAAAATATTTTTTCTATCAATATGAAAGCTGCAAGTTCAAAGTACAAATTCATGCCAATCTGTTCTAATTTGCATCTAAAAAAAAAAGTATGTATGGGGAAAAGAGTATGCAGTTGTGACTAACAGAGATATAAAAGAAAGCAGTAAAAATGGTAAACTCATTTGTAAACAAATTTTACTCAAGCTAGTTTTCATGTTCATTTGTACAGATCTATGTTCATTTAATCTGAATCAACTTTCAGTTTAAAACCTTCATGTAAACAGAAAGCTGAGTCTTTTATATCCATGAGACCAATCACGTTTGCTTACAGAGGACAAGTGACAAAGTAAAAGACATTGCATTTACTTTGAAAATTCATAAAAAAATATTTTAAAAATAATTTCTGTACTTATGTCAGAGAACATGCAAAGTGTTTTAAGATATGCAATTTCTTGTGCAATCAGCTACAGTGAGCAAAATAATTTCTTGAACAATTTTTTTTTTTAAATATACCAGTTAATTTTTTTTTCTCAGAATGTACATTAAGAGTAAAAATTTGCAAATAAAAATAAAGTAATATTTCATTTTTGCATTTAGAGTGAGTTTTATTTTCAAAGATAATTATCTAACGAATTTGACTTGATAAATTTTAAGTTTAATAAAAAAGAAAAATAAGTGTTCATACATCTACGTGATACGAAGGACTTGAAGCAATTATTGCCGAAGGCGATACTGACGAGACTACAGGTGATGACAAGGGTGGAGATGGTGTTGGGTTTGTACTTGCCGGACCAGAACTGCGGCTGACAGCTTGTGCAAATTGTGTTGGCACATCTACCCTATTTGGTCGCACATTGACTGGTGGAGGTGGTGGCGTTGTGCGAGGAGGTAAAGAAGCTGCCATTGGCAGTCTCTGCATTGGGGTTCCTGAAGGCAGTCCATAAGGATCAGTACTCTGTAGTTGTCCTGGTAACCGCTGACCAGAATTCAACAGAGGTCCATCTGATGAAATAAACAATATTGAATCACTTAAGAAAAATAGAAATAGGGAAAATAAAAGAATTCAGGCAATATTATGGCTTATATTAAATATAATCTATAGTAGAATCAAAACTAAAAGTGAACAATTGTAAATTCAAGCATGTAAAATACTTTTTCATCATTTTATAAATCATTACTATTATTGCATTAGCCAAATTAGCTGAAAATTTAAAATGTTTTAAATTTTTAAAAAACTTGTTTTCTATGATTTGAACCCTATTAAATAAATCAATACAATTCATGATTTCATTAAGTGGCTGCTGAAAAGTTTCTGACCTAAATTTCCAATGACCAAACACCAGAAAATTCATTTTTTTTTTTTTTTTTTGGAAGTGGGCTAAGTCAAGAACTTTTTAGAAGCCCCTCATAATTATTTGAATACACTGATTAATAGTGTTCCAGAAACTCATCAAAATTCTATAAACTGTTCTACAGAAAAGTAAATAAGAAACATATACTGTAGTACACTTTTGTGTATGTGTTTCTTATACTTTGACATTAATGTGTAGTACGTTTCTTATTTCTTTAAATGTTAAAGAGAAAAATAACCAGCCTTGTTGAATAATCATAAGGCTTTCTTAAAAGCATTAATTGAATAACTGATTAAATCACAAAGCAGAACTTACTTGGCTGACCTGCAGGACGCATTGGCATGTTAGATTGGTTAGCTGGAACAGGTTGCATATTTTGTTGTTGCCGTTTCATTCTTTTCTCCTCTAATTCCTTTTTGTATTTTATAAATTTTCTCTGCTAATAAGTGATAATACTCTTCCTGAAATGTATATAAAAAAAAAAAAAAAAAAAACTATTTCTTTAGATAACATACTCATACTTCTTAATTTAAACATGTTTCTGAATTTATCAATACACTAGAATAGGAAGAGAAAAAAACTATTGCTTCAGAGTAAATATAAATCTGATTTTTTTAATGCCTAAATATCAAAAAACCTTTTTTCCAAAAATAAGAGATTTATTTAATAAGCCAAATAATTATAAATAATAAAAATATTCAAAAATGAAAAAAAAAAAAAATTACAGTGAAGTTTCCTAATATTGTGAAACTTCACTTTATAATTTTTTTCATTTTGAATAGTTTTATTTATATTTATTTGGTTTATCAATAATAAATCCAACTTTTTTTTTTTTCAGAACAGGTAATATTCTTAAAACTAAATTTTAAAATCAGTAGACCCTTTTGTTGAGATCCTTTCAATAAATACATGAAGAAAACGTGTATCATAAATGGATAATCATACTTTGTGCGCTCTGGATATATATATTTATAAAGTAAATCACTTAGATACAAATATCAACTCTGAGGGACTCGCAAATTGCAGAGAATTATTACAACAGTAAAAATAAAATTAAAAAATATGAAATTCAACTTACTCTATCATTAGCCGTTTCATACATGTCACCTTCAACTTTCTTGGCATAATCGACTAGATTTTTCATTCTCCTGTCCTTATATGCTGCTGGATCAGGAGTGGGAAATATTGCATGTACTCTGCAAAAGAAAAATACAATGCATGAATAATTAACAATTAAAGTAAATCAACTTGAGAAAGAAAAATAGCAAACATTTTAAAACCTGAAAATATATACTACTGATTATGAACTGAATGCATTTAAAAAAAATTGAACTTTTTTGAAACTAGATATTACAAGAAAAGTATACTTACAACCTATGAACAAGATGATTTCTTAAATCTTGAGTGACACACTGATGCCATGACTTTGAGCCTCTATTGGTCTGATTCAAAGCTTGTACTCCAGTATTTGCTGCAACTCCACTTGTAACACCAAATAAAACACCAGTGGCCTGCGGTCTTTGTATCATATCTTGACGTTGGGCATTCTGATTATTAGGATTCAACTGAGTTGATAGCATACCTGGCTGTGCTGGTACTTGGCCTAAAAAAAAAAAAAATAAAAAAAAAAAAAAAAATAAAATAAACTTTTTAAATGATAAAGAAATTCTATTTTAAAATTTAGGTTCAATAGAAAATATAAAGATTGCCAATTTAAATTTGGTTTTTGCATGCATACAATCATTGTTTTAAATGATGAATTAAAAATACAATGATTTAATTTGCCACAGAGAACTTGAAAGGATAGCACACCTGGTTGAGTTGAAATACTTGGTCGAATAGGAGGAACGGCATTACCACTAGTGGCCTGCTTGTATGAAAGGCCTAGAGCATCATATGCACGCTGCATATCTCTAACACCAGGAGACTGAGTGCTAACAGGAACACTAGGTGTCTGTTGTACAACTGTAAATGAAAATTTAAAAATTTTTTCTTTTTAACAATTTTTACTTATCAATATAAAAAAACTGCTATGCAATGCAAACATTTACTATTCTGCTAACAAATTAGACAAGTAATAAAAATGATAGATATAACAAATGCTTGAACATAAATCAAAGTTATGTTAAAAAAAAAAAAAATTGCTTAACAATTAAACATTGTAATACGTCAGTTGAAAACAAAATCTCTAAATATTATCACAGTTAATTTCTTAATTTTGATTTTAAAATCTCAATACAAATATACAAAATACTAAATATTAGCTATGTGAATTTTAATATTTAATGATTTTTTACTTTCCACAACCCTATACACATCTACCTGCTATAAGGAAAACATAAAAAAGTAACAGTAGGTATGTAAGAGATATATCTTACAGCTAGTGAGAAGGAACATTTGTTATCTTTTGACTAGGTAGAGTTTTCTCTAGACATAAAACTTAGTTTTACTTA